AGAAAACAACTGTCACAAAAGCCGTAATTGAGCAGCTCACATATGCAAAAATGTGAGAAACCATATGATTGCCTGGTGTAAAAAGTTGCCAGCCAATCTCAGACCTTCAGGTCATCTCCAGTGGGTGACCTATTAGAACCTACTATGTTTGGCCAGTTGATCTCCAATGGTTGACCTATTAGAACCTACTTTGTTTGGCCAACTCATCTCCAATGGTTGTCCTATTAGAACCTACTATGTTTGGCCAGTTGATCTCCAATGGTTGACCTATTAGAACCTACTATGTTTGGCCAGTTGATCTCCAATGGTTGACCTATTAGAACCTACTTTGTTTGGCCAACTCATCTCCAATGGTTGACCTATTAGAACCTACTTTGTTTGGCCAACTCATCTCCAATGGTTGACCTATTAGAACCTACTTTGTTTGGCCAACTCATCTCCAATGGTTGACCTATTAGAACCTACTTTGTTTAGGCAGCTGATCTCCAATGGGTGACCTATGATTACCTACTGTGTTTGGCCAGCTCATCTCCAATTGGTTCATCTATTAAAACCTACTATGGATGTCTTTAATGGCAACTACCTGGTGAGGATTGGTTTCCTGGTTCTGTAGAAGTTGACAACCTCAGCTGCAGAATGGACAAGTTCCCAAAACATAGGTTTTGTGAGGTTGCCATTACTGAAGACTTGTTTTCCCCATTGTGAGATTGGAAGCAAAAGTTGCAGCATCTCATATCAGTGCTGTATAGTCACTGTTGCTGTATAATAGGTTACCATTGTGTGTTTATGTGGCTCCTTTGCTTCTCTTTTGGGCCCACAAGGGCAAAGTGTTTTCTGGTCATGAACCACCCTGGTCCAACAGCATTTTCTCATTATGCCGGCATACCAGGAAACATGAGAGCTGGAGTGACGTCTGCTGTCCCTTCAATTACCTCATTGAAACACTAGAAAAGGTGGGGAGGGGGGTAAACATCTTCTGCAGTGCACAGACACATCTTCTAACTTCTTGTTATGCACCATTGTTTAGACAATTAAGTCTTCTACTGGATTGGTCGACCAATCATAGATTAAACTTGAACATCACACTCTCCTCTTTACGAGCACCTATTTCATTTATTCACATTTTATAGCACTCCTCATACATCATATACTACTGGTTATCAGCTAGAGACAGCAGAACCAGTGTGTTTACACAGAGGGCCCTGAAGTCTGGTGTAAATAATTGTATTAATAGCAAACCATTTGCCAAGTGAAAGGAAGAAGACCTTGTGGATCTGGATTTGTAAAAAAACAAAAATTTTACGCTTAGTTCTCTTTGAGCCGCCCGAGGGTTTGCTATATTACGGACATTTCCTTGCTATCATAGCTTGATTTCTGGTTCTGTGTGGCGGTCAATTTCTCCTGAGTTTGGTTATTTGCTGCAATATGTCAGATGTCGTCTTCCTGGGCGGGTATCGGTGGCTTTTGATTGGGCTGGGAGACCTTGGGAAAGAGCTGCTGATATTTATTAAATACCCAGCAACCACTGTCGGATATCTTTAGTGTACTTATACAGCTGCCGTCATCTATTCAGTCTCATGATGTTGTTTGCTGGCATAAGATAATGTCTTCCTGTCACACACTTTCCTCCATACTTATCTCCAGCACATCTATTAACAAGGAGCTGTGTCTTAACTTTATATGTCCAGAATATTTTAAATGTCAAACTTTGATGTCCTCCATTATTCTTGTCTCAGGTCCCACTATTGGTATCATTGATTTACTTCCTTCCCTGCCTTGATGTCCTCCGTTATTCTTTTCTCAGGTCCCACTATTGGTATCATTGATTTACTTCCTTCCGTGGCTTGAAGTCCTCCGTTATTCTTTTCTCAGGTCCCACTATTGGTATCATTGATTTACTTCCTTCCGTGGCTTGATGTCCTTGTTGTTTTTTCTCTAGCAGTTCATTAACCTCAGCTTGACTTTCACTTTATTCATTCTGCACCCATGTTTCTGCATCAGGCAATCATACAGAGTCAATGTAACACTTGATCACTTCATTTACAATTACACTATTTAAATACACTAATTGTGACAACAGAGATGAAATGCCTTAGAAGAGCTGCAGGAGTTTCAAGGAAAGACAATACGAAATCATAAAATTAGACGAATGCTAGGAATAAAGCCAGTCTTACAGGTCATCAAAGAACAACAAATGTAGTGGTTTGGACACCTAACAAGAATGCCCTGGTACTGTCTACCACAGCGAGCCACACTAAAGCTTTACAACGGGTATAGAGCGAGTGGAACACCTCGGAAAAGATGGAGTGATGGCATTAAGAACAGCCTTACAGAAATGAACATCAGTCTTAATAGTGCTCTTGACAGAGCTCATCAACGAACATTACATCTCCCCCCAACACTTCGATGAGGTACAAGGTGGAAGATAAGAAGAAGAAGATACAAGAAACTGATTCATATTGTTGACTTTCCTGTCACTGTTTATTTTCTGCTTCTTTATTTCTGTCTCAGAAAGAAGCATTTCTGTGTTAAAGTATATTTCTTTTATGATAATTTATTTTCCTCTTTGCTTTGCTACATTGTCAGCATCAGTTGCCTTAGGCTTTGCGTACACGTTTTTCAGTGCCAGGGTGCTCAGATCAATTTAGCAAGATCTTGGTGATCTTAGTTTCAGCTTCATAGCAAACGGTAATTGCTCCCCTCCTGTGCCAACGAAAACACACAAAATGTTTATTACAGTTCCTTGTGGAAAGATTGACAGACTGCTGTCTCAGCATATGCACTAACATACACATGCATTAAAAGTATACCGTAGCCATCCGAAGTGCTAACACAAACAGTCTGACATTAGAAATGCAGTTCATCATGGATGGTGGCAGAAGTCACCAACAGATCAGCAGCTACACACACGATCAATTTTAATCACATAATGGCACCACTAATTTTGCGACAGCAGGCATGGCATCATTTTCTGAATCTACAATTCACAACACCACGTTGGTCACAGTAAAAAAACATTCCAAATGAAATCCGCAGCTCAGAGTGTCATGCCATGCACTCTACTCAAAAGCTGGTCAACGAAACTATATCCTTTCAGCATACAAATGGAGCAAAAATGCAACGGGCACCATCTGACAGAAGCAAAACATTTGCCATGACTCAAAACAGTGACCATGCCTAGCGTCTGTTTTGACCAGAGGTCAAGAGAAATCTTGTGTTGTTGGTTTTGACCGTGGTACTGAGAGCCGACCATCCAGAAAGCAATGGCATTGGTCTCTAAATTATTGGTCTAGCCCTATATGCCTGAGAGAGGGGGTCCTTTAATGTACATTTTCACAAAATTTATTGTTGTTGTGGATTCGTTTTTGGAAGGCAGTCTATACACGTGTATTTATCATTGTGCTAGTATTTAGAGTATGTCCTTCCAGTACAAAACGTACAGTCATTAAGGACGTACAAGTAGCTGGCTACGTGTGACAGGCAGGATTACCACAGCTGTTGTGCTGTATTTGGCTTCTGATGTTTTATTACATACGCCCCAGCGATGTAACTGCAGCTGACAAGTAGCATTAAAACCATGCCAAAGAACAGTGAGAGGAAAACATGTGACAGAAAATATGGCCAAATAAGATGTAAGCAACAATGAAACAGTGTGGACAGAATTAACTAGGGATCAAAATAAGGAAGGGTGACCTCATAAAGAATAACATGTGAGATGTTAGCAAACACTCCTCAATGAAATGGTATGAAAACAATAGCGAATATTGAGAATAATGGTGAGAAACATTGAGGAAGAACATTTGAAGAAACAGTGGTGTGTGTTGTAAATAACATAATAGGAGACACTGGGAATAAAATACCCTGTTGCTATGGAAACCTGGAGAATAACATGTAAGGTGTGATGAGAAGTGTAAATAACAGGATAGGAGACTCTGTAACATGTGAGGTTTGTGGGGGGAAAATGTGTGGCTTGAGACAGTTGTGAATAACTTGTGCCACACTAGGTACACACTCATCTTGGTTGTACTGCTCTGGGAACACATTGTTGTGAGTACACATCACTCTGTAGGCACACTGTTATAGTTCAAACCACGCTGTGAATATACTATAAGTACACACTGCTGTGTACTGGGTACACCACTATGTGAACACGCTGCTGTGTACTGGGTACACCACTATGTGAACACACTGCTGTGTACTGTGTACACCACTATGTGAACACTGCTGTGTACGGGGTACAGTACTATGTGAACGTACTGCTCTTGGTGCATGCTACTGTACACACACAGCCCTCTGTGTACACTGCATCTAAGAGCCAAATTTACTGACATATATATGACTGCACGCAGCAGATTGTGCCTGTACTTGTGATCAATAGCCATAAAATGCTGCAGCCTTTATTTAAACAGTGTTTAATGAGGGTGGCTTTTTGCCAGCATAGCTGTATTGTTTTGTGTGTGTGAATCATTGGTTGCAATGTTTTTCTTATCCGTTTTAAAATGGTTGCCCTAGCTGTTTGTATTTGTAGGTGTCAATGTTTCATTGATTTGAATATTTTAGTCAGTGGATTGAATGTTAGTGTGTTCTCTGTTTGATTTGTTGATTGGAATTTTCTAGTCGGTGGAATGAATGTTTAGTCTCTTCTTTGGTTTGTTGATTGAAATGTTACAGCTTTCAGAACAGTTTATCTTGTCTAGTAATAGAATATTCTCTGTTAGTCTGCCAAATGGTTCAGACATCAGTCAGAGTTACATTTACATGCTCAATGTTGTAAAGAATAGAATAAGAGTGTTTCTTTCTCTGCCTACTGTATAATATTAGGAAACATAAATTGGAATTGACCAGTCACCAGTGACACTTGTCAATCTGCCTAATTCATGTTCTTTATATTCTGATTGTTGAGTTTGTGTTGTCTGCCAGATGGAGAGAAGGCACTATTCCAGTATGTGGGAGAACTCCGGTTCACTATGGAATGTTTTTTTTTCTCCTTTCCAGAAATCATGAGCAGCCCATATCCTGGAAATCAACCTAATGCCCCGCCCCCACCCTATGACAGTGCCTATCCACCGGCGCCACCTGCAGGCTACTACGGGGGCCCTCCTCCCCAGGGATATGGGCCAACCCATCCTGGTTATCCACCACCGCCTCAGAACTATGGAGGTTACGGACAGCCCCAGGCACCTTATGGAGCACAGCCATACCCTCAGCAGCATGGGTTTGGTCATCCAGGGCCCTACCAACAGCAGCCACCGGCACAGCAAGTGTAAGTACACGGGTGGTCAGTTAGATAGATGATGGTTGTACATGTTAGGGTTTGCAGCAATGCATTCTTAAATAAGCATGATCTACTCACCCCTAAAACATTGGACAAAAGCCTAAGTTTACTCAGGGGCCTAAATTGGTAAAATGGGGATTGCTTCCGGAAACCCCAGCACCGACATAGAAGAATCTTGAATACAACATGGCTGGCAGTGATCTGGCCACTTGCTGGACCTCCACTTGCCACATTTATCATGTGAGGCCGCCAGTTGAAGAGCTTTGCTCTAATGAGTTACTAAGATACTTCTCAAGATCATGCACGATAAAATAAAAAAATAAAATGGATAATGAAGCTTCTCAATAACAGTTTTTGGTTTTATCAAATTAGTCATACTAGAGACACTATTATTTGTCTAGAGATGCCGACTAACATATATAGAGAAGTACAGAGAGATGTTTATGCATGTTGGAGAGTTAACAAGAAAACCTGTGACATGGTGCAACTTGAACAGCTAGTTGTGACAGTGTCTACTCATCGCAGACAACGATAATGAGAGGAGTACGACAGGGTTTAGAGACATCCCCGAGCCTTTTCACCTTAGACACACAATTTAAAAAAAAAATTCTAGCTAACAGAATTAATTGCATCTGAGTTTGCATTTAGCAGACAGGAAATTATTGAGTACAAACTTGAAAAAAAAAAGTGCAGAAAATGGATTAGGTGTTAATGTTCAGAAACAAAAACTATGAATTAACAATGGAGTCGAGCGCCCAACATTGATCACCACAATAAATTTAAGATATATTCGAACAGATTACACATTTCTCTTATCTTGTACGTACAAATTTAGATATATTTGTCTCCCCCGTATGGGTTCCGGGGCCCTACTATGGGAAAAACAAGAATAGACCCACTGCCTACCCAAAAGCATGTCGTAAAAGTCGACTTCGAAGCCAGAGTGCATCTGCCTGAGAGACAAGGAACCAACAGTCTGCATACAGATCTGTCAAATGGATTCACATGCAACACTCAGGTTCTGGAACAGGGCTGCAGTCCAGAAGTAGACGAACAACCAGAACTTTCCGGTGAACGCGAAGAAGAAGATATATTTGAACAAATTGCAGATGCATCTAATCTTGGACGTATAAAAATTTAGATATATTAGAACAATTTACAAATGTCTCTAAACTTGGACATGTAAAAAAAATGATGGCAGAAGTGAAATAGCAATACAAGAGAAAGTGGGAATGGCTAATAATATCTGCAACATGACGCATAAATTATTGAAAGTCGGACTTGTAGAAAACACAGCGAAAATGAGGTGCGGGGCTTTACTAATATGTATATGTATATTTTAATCACCACAGCTTGATTCTTTTTACATTTGCTGTAATAAAATCTATTAGAAATATTTCAATCTATCCTCTGACCATCCCTGTCCATTCAGACTGTCCCTCTTTCTAGCAGTGAAATTGTGCATCGCACCAATTCCAGCGTCACCTTTCAATTTATTTTTTATTTGGTTTTTGAACTGTTCTTATACTAGTAAAGAAATCTGTGTCGTTTATACAATGTCTCATAATTAAGTAATGAGGCTAATTCCATAAAAATTAAAATAATCAACAGTTAAAGATATAACCTGTTTTTTTATTCAAAGTAAGCCCATTGTGCATTGATACAGTGAGTAGCACAATCTAACAAACATGGAACAACCTCTGTAGTCCTTCTGTTGCTATGGCCATTAAAGTCGATGTTATGGCCCTTTGGATGTATATCATCAAAGAAGTGTCCTTTCAATGGTAACTTTAATTTTGGGAATAGAAAATAATCACAGGGAAACAAATCTGGGGAATTGGGTGGATGGTTGAGAACACAACACTTATTTTGGAGACAAAAATTCTTATTTTAATGTCTTGTGGGTACTAAACGCCCTGATGTTTTTTGTTCATCGGACAACGAATGTAGTACAAACCCGCAAGCAACCTTTTTCTTGTCAAAATCTTGCCCTAAAATTTTTGGGAAGGGTCTCTATCCACACAAGATTTATCTGCCATCATCCCGACCATAAAACAGTGATCTACTTATATCCATATGTGAATTTTGCAATGAGTTTATCATTATAAACAGAAATTGGGTGTCCAGATCTAGCTTTACTAGTAAACATTTCTGCACCACCTTTGAATCGTGAATACCACCTGAAAATCTGTGCACCAGATAAACAATTATCCCCATAAACTTGTTGCTTCAGTTCAACTGTTCCACTAGCGCTTTTTATGATTTTTAAACAAGATTTAATGTTACTTTTTGCTCTATGCTGATTTTGTAACAATGCACATCTAACTGGGTCCCAAAAAATGACAGCGTGTTTGTCATCTGCTTATCAGGCGGTGTTGCAAAGTTGCCAGAACATAGATGAAAGTTGCCTATTTGGATTTCAGGCTTTGCTGATGGCACTTTTGTTTGGCCATAATAAAATCAATCTTATTACTTAATTGTCGGATCTTGTACATGGATCACATATTTGTTGCTTACCGCCAGCTGCTGTGTTTTTAAATATAATATTCAATCCACCGACAGACACCGTGCAATCACCATCATTGACAGAACTGATCAGTGCTGTAAAGCCAAAATAATGATTTCTCGGATTTATAATTTTTCAAAACTGCACATACAGGAGCTCAGCATCTGAGTTGAATCAAAATTGATACACAATACAGGCTGTTGGAGATCACAGCTTGTGGAGAGGCATGCAAATTATATTCTTCGTTTACATTGGTCTTTCACCCTGTTGCTGGAAGTTTAGACACAACTGTTGTTAACCGATGTAAACAAAAATGAATTCCACCAACATTTTAAACTGGGCATTTCATATGTCTATTCATAATCTGATAACTTTATGGCTTCTGCTTGTTTGATAATGTGCCAGTATTTCAGAATACCAGGCTGCTTTGATTTCAAATCTACACACATGTACCTCATTTTCTTTATTATAATTTAGATTTTTATCTGCTTGCTCTGTTTTCTTCTTTTGTCGTCTCACAGATACCAGATTGTACTCTGTGCCCTGGTTTTCTGTGTTTATCTTGCACTTAGGTGATGGGTTTGAAATCTTTTTGGATGTTTCAGCAACACCATTTATCCATCGCCACCGCCTTCCTCCAAGATGTTCAGCTGTTGAAAAAAAAAAAAGCAACCTCACATGGGGTTTGGTGTGGCTGCATTTTCACTAGATGGCCGAACCATTTCGTTCTTTGTCTGTCAGTAAAATTTAAACACATTCCTATTTTAACTTTCTCTGCAATCCTGGAATTTATAACCCTGTCCCTTCTAGTTTTGTTAGTGACCTTGCTGAGACAGCGTATTTTACAATTTGTTTGCTAATAAATCACAATTTGTAGCGTATTTCGCAATCTTTTTGCTAATCAATCACAATTTGTAGCTTATTTTGCAATCTGTTTGCTAATCAATCACAATTTGTAGCGTATTTTACAATCTGTTTGCTAATCAATCACAATTTGTAGCGTTTTTCACAATCTGTTTGCTAATCAATCACAATTTGTAGCGTATTTCACAATCTGTTTGCTCATCACACAATCTGTTTGCTAATCAATCACAATTTGTCTCCCACAGAGTATATGTTGAGGAAAGACGCAGGTCACATGATAATACAGGTGAGATGTGTTGCCTGGCAGCTCTATGCAGCACTTTGTTATGTTGCTGCTTATGGGACTGAGAAGTTAGTTCTAATACGTGTACATATAGGTTTGTTAATCCAGAGTCCAACATTCCAACGATTATATGCACCTTTTCACTTCTTGAGATGTATCGACTTGTGCGAGCGGCAAGCAGATAAACCTGGTCTCCCTGCAACATTGGACCATTCCAAGTGCTCGTTGTTTAATTTCGTTTTTAATAATGTTTTAACTGTTACCATTATATAATTGTTTTTATACTGTTTTCTGTAACTCTTTATTGAAATAGTTACCATAACTTGTTATATTCTGATTACAGATAACTCCAGTATGATTGCTAATTGTCATCTGTCATATTGATTGTTGTATATATATTTTTTTTAAACATCGTCTGTGTTCTGATAACTAGCAAAACATTCGTGAAAAGACATTGACATATTTTACCAAATTTTGTCATTGTAACGGTTCACTGTGATGATTGTGAGAAGCCTTGTTTAATTTGATGATTATTAAAAAATATTTTTTTGATGGTTGCCAAATTTGTGAAAAATTTGATATTATTTGAGACTTTGCCAGTGTTAGATTTTGATTTATTTGTTTTGCTTAGTTATTGTTGTTTTTTCTCTCCACAAAATGTCTGGTATGCAAAGACATAGTTAAACAGTTGAAATCAAAGTCGACTGTGCTCATCCAGTTTTATTGAGACCAGACAGTGTATGTTCCAGTTCAAGGTCAGACATGCGCAGTAATCTGTCAAGTCAGCAATGGTCGAAGGTCCGAAATGATCAAAGTACGCCATCATTAAAACAACTTCTTTTCAAAAAGATTATTGTTAACTCTCAGGAACAACTCCATTCTCTCCTGACATATTCCCAACAAATAAAAATAGCTGACATGAATTATTTGAAAACAATACAATAAATTGGTGCAATAAGCAGTCACTTTCTTTATGGTGCTACAAATATATTCAACTTGAAAAAGTCTCCTGTATGTTGCAACATATGACTGCATATTGCCAGGTTTGTTTCTTGGTGTTACGACTGTATTACCAGCTACAGTAAATATGAAGCGGGAAACTTCTCCTTTTGTACCCATGCTTGTCTACATTTATTATAAATATGATCCCCCGTGTGGGTTCCGGGGCCCCATTGTGGGGAAAACAAGAATAGACCCACTGCCTCCCCAAAAGCATGTCGTAAGAGTCGACTAATTGGGAAGCTTCCTTTGAAGTCGGAGTGCATCTGCCGGAGAGGCAAGGAACCAACAGTCTGTATTCAAGAGAATGAGATCTGTAAAACTGATGCACACGCAACACTGTGGTTCTGGAGCAGGACTGCAGTTCAGTAGTGGACGAGCAACCAGAACCTTCCGCCAGAGTTTACAGCTGGTGAACGTGAAGAAGAAGATAAATATGATATTGTATTCTCAGATTTTATTGCATTTACCTTAAACAGACTGTATTCATAATTGTTTCATTTACAACAGTATTATGCTTTAAGTCAATATTTTTCATTTCAGGGCCAGGTGTGTTGCATTGTCTTTGTCTTCTCTTTGTTGCTGAATTTCATCACTGACATTTTTTTCAAAACCATATCATCATATGTCAGATCTTTTGCTGGTCGTTGATCACCATCATGTGGCTGTAGTAAAAATTGTAGTTCCCCTGCTTGGTGTCTAATGGTGACTGTCCTGTGTCTTGTCTTCGAGCTGGTAGATCTGCGCCTCTTCGTCCAGGAGTCCTGATGTCCAGTATTGTTTCCTGGAATATTTCCCTATCATCTAAAATGGCAAAACTATTTCTGGCTTTGAGAACTGATGTTCAAATGTTTCCTGTATGTTTGATTCTTTTCTTATACAGCATGTGCCTTGTTTTTGCTCTTTCCATTCAGCAGCAGCAATTTTTTTCTTTGAGATTACGCTACAAACAAGAATCAATGAATGCATTGAAAATGGTAGACCTTGTTTTTATTTTATTTGTTTCAGTTAAGAAGATATGTCTCTATTTAACGGTTGTCTTGTTTCTCTCATTGGTGTAACCATCTGGTTTTTCACCTTTCTGTGTGGCTACCTGAAGGTTTGAACCTGAGACTACAGAATCTCAGTCTGGATGGCAGACCAACAGGGCACATCTAAGATACCCCAATCAGTCAGGCACATCTAAGATACCCCAATCAATCAGGCACATCTAAGATACCCCAATCAATCAGGCACATCTACGATACCACAATCAGTCAGGCACATCTAAGATACCACAATCAGTCAGGCACATCTAAGATGCCCCAATCAATCAGGCACATCTAAGATGCCACAATCAATCAGGCACATCTAAGATGCCACAATCAATCAGGCACATCTAAGATACCCCAATCAATCACCAGGAAACTTATAATTGGGACATCAGTAACAGTTTCACCAGCCTGAAGTAACTGTGCACTGTTGTGCGGTTAGAGATGATTAATCATTTATGTAGCAACAAATGTCAACAGACAATGGCAGTAATAGTCAGCTACTGTTGTTTGGTTTTCACCCAGTTTCAGATGTGATAATCATAAGCACAGGATTTGTATACTGGATAAATTTTGTCTTTGTTCCATTTCTGTTTACTTTTATGGAGAAATGCTTTTCCAGTGCCTTCTTTTTTCATTCAAAAAAATGTTTGCCTTTGATCAGAGTTCTCTCCCCTTCCTATATTCTCCAGTCTCTGTGTTTGATTTGTTGATATGCACTGACCTGAGATTCTTTAGACTCAGACTCGAGTTGGAAGTAGAATGGAGCACTTATGGATTATCCCTTGTACCCTGATGCTGATTGGTTGTCTAAATAAGCAAAAATAGATGCAGTGTCAAATATTTGTTAGAAGTAAAGAGTGTATGCATGATTTATATTTGCAGTAAATCAAGACTAGATAGGTGATCACATATTTGCAATAAATTAAGACTAGACAGGTCATCATATATTTATAAAAAGTCAAGAATAGAAGCATGATTAAATTTGAGCCTGATGATTGAGGGCCTCATGACTATTGCTGGTGCCATGAACCATCCCTGTTAGGATGTTTATTTTTGTCACTGACTAAAAAACTTTCGTTACTTTAGCAAGCATTCAGACTCAGGTCTCAAACATTCTAGTCACTTAAGGTTATCTCTTGTATAACAGAATCTTGAAATCTGCACATTCCTTCCTGCCATGTCAAAGTGATGTCAAAAACAGTCAAGATTTATAAATATGGATTGTTGTTAGAGTGGTGTCAAATGTTGCTAGATTTGTAATTTGTTAGATGTGAACATTTAAACTTGTTATTTTTTATAAAGACAGAGTTGCAGACTCCGATGTTTGCTGAGACAGAAACAGACAGCCACAGGTCTGTCTAAGTGATAGTCATGGGTAAACACTTGTTCAAAGATATCAGTTTGTCTCATCTGGTTCTATGTTCGCTGAGACAGAAGCAGACAGCCACAGGTCTGTCTAAGTGTTAGTCAACACTTGTTCAAAGATATCTGTTTGTCTCATCTGGTTCTATGTTCGCTGAGACAGAAACAGACAGTCACAGGTCTGTCTAAGTGTTAGTCAACACTTGTTCAAAGATATCAGTTTGTCTCATCTGGTTCTATGTTTGCTGAGACAGAAGCAGACAGCCACAGGTCTGTCTAAGTGTTAGTCATGGGTAAACACTTGTTCAAAGATATCTGTTTGTCTCATCTGGTTCTATGTTCGCTGAGACAGAAACAGACAGCCACAGGTCTGTCTAAGTGTTAGTCATGGGTAAACACTTGTTCAAAGATATCAGTTTGTCTCATCTGGTTCTATGTTTGCTGAGACAGAAACAGACAGCCACAGGTCTGTCTAAGTGTTAGTCAACACTTGTTCAAAGATATCAGTTTGTCTCATCTGGTTCTATGTTTGCTGAGACAGAAGCAGACAGCCACAGGTCTGTCTAAGTGTTAGTCAACACTTGTTCAAAGATATCAGTTTGTCTCATCTGGTTCTATGTTTGCTGAGACAGAAACAGACAGCCACAGGTCTGTCTAAGTGTTAGTCATGGGTAAACACTTGTTCAAAGATATCAGGTTGTCTCATCTGGTTCTATGTTCCAAAGGTTCCATGAAGGTTTTTACACTTGTCATTTGGTTTTGTAACCCATTGATAAGCTTCTTATAGTTCAGGCTGTGTAGTGTCTGTCATCATACCTGTTCGCAAACTTCTGTCTTATGTAATAACAATCATTTCTGATATGTATGTTCTTCCATTGAACTGTCCCACATTTTCCTGTCCCTGCCTCTGCTCCTCTCCTGCTTTCCTCTTGTGATGAGATAGGCCAGTATTCTCTTCTCATCACATACTCCATTTTGTCTACTGTCCCCTTGTTTTGACATGCTCAGATAGTATTGGCTTCCTTGTGATTTGAATAACTAGTTTCATTATGAATTAGTTTTTTTTTTTAAAGAGTTTTCATGAGACTTGGTTTTCTATCTCTCCATGTTGTTTTTTCTTAAACATCATCTCTACAGTTTTTTTCTGACTGGTCTGTTGACTGATTGTCTCCCATATAATGTTAGCATATCATTTTTGCTTGTCATTCTCCCCGCCAATGGTGTTCAGACAAGAAGGCCACAGGTCTCTATGAAGGCTTTGGTATAGGGCATGTCTTAAACTGTTCCATACACCTCAGTTTCTGTTGGAATGTTAACCGACCAAACCTGAGATCTCTCTACTGCATATTACTGAGAAGTTGTGATGAAGTAGACACCTTGTCAAGTCAGACCATAGTGTCGCCATTACCAGCCTTCTGGTCCACCCTGAACACATGGGATATACATCTACAGGCAGTGATGGTTGAACATCTGAGGGCTTTTAAAGAGAAGGGGGTGAGTGGTTTCATAGGGAAGAGGACAGAGCCTGCAGGAGGGTCTTGTTTGGGACTGATGGAGTTTAGACAGTTTCTCTCAGGAGGACAGAGCCTGCAGGAGGCTCTTGTTTGGGACTGATGGATGGTTTCTCCCAGGCCGTGTACCAGCACGGTGTTTTATCATCCAGTTAACAC